ATACAATTACAAAGAAGAAGAAGAAAAAGGAAATACATCAATAATAATATTCAGAATTATTATTTTTAATAGGCATGTACAGTATGTTTGTACTTTTGTATTGTCAATTGATAACCAACTGCAGGGTAAGGCTAAAAGTAGCCTAATGTTAGTGTAATCTATTAACTACTCGCATAATAAACCCAATCTTTTTTAGGTAGGCGAAGTAGGCTATATGGGAGTTATGTCACAAAATATTTTAATATGACTGAATTTGTATTTAACATCATCACAATTTAATAAAAATATTGTAAGTTACTAATAATAACACTTTCATTTCCATGGTTATTCAAACAGTAAATAAATTATACAGAAAGCAAGCAAAGACCAAAGAACATTATAACTGACTTCAGCCTAGCAGGAGTTTAAGCACTCTCAAAAAAGAAAAGAAAAAAAAAACAACTCCCATTATTATCATTAAAGCACTGCGAAATGAATCTTACTTGCATGGTACTTCTGCACTTTGTTTATGATGAGAGAATTCGCGAGAGCAGAATTCAGTCAGCCAGTGCGCGCAAGGAAACAAAACTCGGGTGTTTCAGCGATGTTGCCTCTGATTGGCCATTGCATTCATAAGCTCAACAGAATCGTGTGTGAATGGTAGGCTAATAATGCGCAACGCTGTAAAAGCGCATAAGAAGCAAATGATGTGAATGGAGAAAATGATTCAATATTTATAAGAAATATAATGCAATATAATATAATGCAACAGGAGCAGATTTAAATTTAATGCCACGATCAACACTTTTAATTTAATTTCCATTTTCACTTGATCGTGTATTTTTGTCCACTTTGGTGGACTTTTTGCTCCAAGCCCCCCTTTAAAGCAGCACTATGTAACTTTTGGCGCTTTAGCGGTTAATAAGCAGAACTGCACACATCCCGCGGAAGAACATTCCAACCGGAGCTACTTCTCTGTTTATGTCTATGGCGATTCACGCAGGTATGTGTTACTCCGCAGCGGTGACGACCCGACAAGGCTACAATAGTCCAAATATAAGTACTTATTATAAGTGTACCGTAGTGATTCGGGATAAGACAAAAACGCGGTTTGGAAGATGAATTCATGATGTACTCGCTCATTATATACATTTTGCAAATTTTGAACACAGAAAAAGTTACATAGTGCTGCTTTAATTTCTGACCCTTGGCCAGGAGATGGCTAGCTTTGCTCACGGGGGAAGCTGGAAAAGGAAAACCCGGAGTGGAGTTTCAGCCGAACCATTACAGAAGCAGTAGCAGGAGGGGAAATGTAGAGCCGCTCCACTCATATACAAACAGTTAGACATACTTCACCGTGTTAAAACAACAATTAAACTAAACAGAGGAGACAAAGACTCACCTTCATTCGAAAAGCCTACGACGCGAAATGGGAAACGATAATCAATCTTCATTGAAATAAACATCAAACCTTGAAGGAGTTTCCCCAAACACATTTTTTGTCAAGTGCGTCATGTTCATTACAAACTAGTTACATTTCCAGAAAGTCTGCCTTTATTGCATATGCCAGGTATGTTGAACAAAAGAAGAGAACCACATTCTCAGAAAGAAAAGAAAAATAATTAGGCTACAAAAGCTGTCAAAAAGTACACATATGTAGCCCACTTTACTTACCCTTAACGTTGCATGTAAGTAGCCTACTTTAAAGGTAGAAATTAGTAGGCTACCTATAAACTACATATTGGTAGGCCTACCTTAATGGTACAGCTACCTTTCAAAAAGGTACCGCCCCAGTGACAGCTTTTGTATCTTTTTTTCTGACAGTGCTTCCTCCAAGTTTAGTAGCCTAACTATTTAAAGTGACTTTTCCCCATCATTTTTCATAGTTTATCAACATTTGTGAGATTAATGCTGCCTTCACGTGCTATCGGAAATTTCCTATTTCCCACTTATGAAGTCGTGATTAAGAGCTTGTCGTATTCAAGTGCTTTAAAGCAGCACTATGTAACTTTTGGTGCTCTAGTGGTTAATAAACAGAACTGCACACATCCCGCGGAAGAACATTCCAACCGGAGCTACTTCTCTGTTTATGTCTATGGCGATTCACGCAGGTATGTGTTACTCCGCAGCGGTGACGACCCGACAAGGCTACAATAGTCCAAATATAAGTACTTATTATAAGTGTACCGTAGTGATTCGGGATAAGACAAAAACGCGGTTTGGAAGATGAATTCATGATGTACTCGCTCATTATATACATTTTGCAAATTTTGAACACAGAAAAAGTTACATAGTGCTGCTTTAATTTCTGACCCTTGGCCAGGAGATGGCTAGCTTTGCTCACGGGGGAAGCTGGAAAAGGAAAACCCGGAGTGGAGTTTCAGCCGAACCATTACAGAAGCAGTAGCAGGAGGGGAAATGTAGAGCCGCTCCACTCATATACAAACAGTTAGACATACTTCACCGTGTTAAAACAACAATTAAACTAAACAGAGGAGACAAAGACTCACCTTCATTCGAAAAGCCTGTGTCATTTAGAGCATGGCTGTGTTTGGAAGAAAATACTAGTGGACAGCTTGCTGAATACCATTTTTTAAAAATAGTAGGACTGCTACCATATATTACATATATGCAATCTCAGATGTAAAATAGTTATAAATGGTTATGGTGAACTTTTGGCAGTCTGATCAAGTTGAGAAAGATGCCAGCTGAGCACACAGCATTGTGGGAGATGTAGTAGGTAATCTGAGTATTTTATAGTTAAAAGTTTACCCTGATGACCATATTTGCCAATATGTGAAGTGTACAACACGGTGTACTGAAATAGGTACTGTATCTCACAGTCAAAACAGTGCAAAAAAATTATCATCATGTGTTTGGACTCCCAGATATTTTGCAGGAACATTTTGGAATGGCATGTAATAAAAAAACAACAACAAACAGATTATTTGCTTTTCGTTAGTCTCTTCCTTGCAGCCACAAAAGAAGGTTGGAGAAAAGCAGAAACTTACAGTCTTGCTATTCTCCAACAAAACTTGGTCGTACTCGCTAAGAGAAGCTACAAATATGACTGATGTCACATTATCAAAGCAATGGATCCACTTCCTTCTCTCTGATCTCTGACCCCCAACATCTACAATCCTGAAAAGACAGACAGACCAGAAATCAAGTTCATATTTTTAAGAGTGTAAAATTAGCATTTTTCTCAGGCTTCTATGATTATATCCAGTTATTTCACTTTAATGGCAATGAAAATAACCTTTTAATTGCTATAAAAGTTAATTTACTGAACCTACACACATGCAGGAGCCTGAGAAAAATGCTCATTTTAGAAGAACATTTCAGACGGCACTTAGAGTTTTTTGCATCTGAACTCTATTATTTTTTCTTATGGTCTGCAGTTCCTTCTCCTTCCGTTAGAGGTCATCAAACTGTTGAGATGTTTGTTGAAAAGATTTGTTGGAAGTCTGGGAAGCCATCCTTGTTAGTCTCTTCCAGAACTTGGTTGTTCTTGCTGAGAGAAGCTATTGAGTGATGTCACATCCTCAAAGCAATGGATCCACTTCCTTCTCTGTCTCATCCACTTTTCTATTTGATCTGCTGTAGCGAATTCACATCAAGCCAGAATTTGTCCCTAAAATGTTTACTTCTTCCTTTCTGTCATATTTCATGCTGTCTACTTCTGAATCAGATGCTCAACCTGTATTTTCTAGCAGCATCATATGACCCCTTTAAATATTTTAGTAGGTTTTGTTTTATTGCAGAAAAGTCAAGCATCATTGTCAAAAATTGTATTCGGTGAACTGCATCTTTTTTCTTTCTTTCTTTCTTTTTTTTTTTGGTCAAACCTTTAATGGGGTAGTTCACCTAAAAATAAAAATTCTGTCATTAATTACTCACCCTCATGTCGTTCCAAACCCGTAAGACCTTCGTTCATCTTCAGAACACAAATTAAGATATTTTTGATGAAATTGAGAGCTTTCTGACCCTTCATAGACAGCAACGCAACTGAAACGATCAAGGTCCAGAAACGTAGCAAGGACATCGTTAAAATAGTCCACATGACATCAGTGGTTCAACCGTAATTTTAAGAAGCTACAAAAATACTTTTTGTGCACAAAGAAAATGAAAATAACAACTTTATTCAACAATTTCTTCTCTTCCGTGTCAGTCTTTGCCACTTGTTCACGAGAGTACCAGGACACATGCATGCATGAACGTGGTAGTTGTGTTGCTGTGTATTTAGGGTCAGAAAGCTCTCAGATTTCATCAAAAATCTTAATTTATTTTCAGAAGATGAATGAAGGTCTTACGGGATTGGAATGACATGAGGGTGAGCAATTAATGACATAATTTTCATTTTTGGGTGAATTATCCCTTTAATGCATCTGCCTATACATATTTTCACAACTGATTTTCATATCAGTTCATATTTTCATTTTCATGGAGTAGAACGTGTTACTAGTAGCATATATATATATATATATATATATATATATATATATCATTTTATTTGTAACAGCTGTATCATAGAAATTAAAAGAAAATAAATGACAACTGAATTCGTAACAGTACAATTAGTATTCAAGTGCTGAAAACTAGCAACAACAGGATCAGTAGGCTACTAATAACTTTTAAATAGCTTCAGGTAAAATAACAATTTGTGACTCTTTTCTTCCAAGCAATTTCCACACGGTGTCGATAAAGAGCTAGGAATCACCTGCAAATCTGCACGTGAATTCTCTCACAGTTTATGATAACAACATCTCTCAGGTCACTTCAACTATAAACGGAACAGAAGCGCCATTTGTCTGTGATCTTTTTTTTTGTAATAAACCCTTGCATGTGAATATATATGATTTTATATATTATATGAAACTATTAAAGGTGTTTTATGAAAATATCGAGAGATTAGGACTTCTCCAGATATGTTTGACTGGGAATGGGCGTTGTCCGTTCAGTCGAATAGCAGGGTTTGTGGCGAGACACGCCCCGCGAGCTCCTCAGCCGCTCCTCCACCAACCTTGCCTCATTCCACGCCCCGCCCTCTCGCGCGCTTCTTCCTCCAATTGGCTCGGCGCCCTGTCACTCACGCTCCATTTTCCAGCTGTCGCAGCTCCATGTTTGTGTGCGACTCACACTGGACTGGACGGTACGATCATCTGGAAATTTTTTCACTCCGTCGATTTTTTTTTAGGAGCCCACACCTGTGTCATTTTTCTATGCCGATTTTTCGACTTTAAATATTCTTGAAGCCCAGTCGGATGCAAAGAAATGAGCGGTGAAATCAGCGCGTGGAGTGTAAATAAAGATTCCGGCTAGCTAGCAGCTTAGCCCACCCAATTAAGCTAGTTAGTGCGCTTAGCTAATTAACTTTTCGGCTTTTGGATGCTCAAAATCAAATGTTTGCACCGTAGTCAGCGTTATATGCACACGCAGCGTCTGGTTGTCTTCTGCCACCTGTCGCCGTGTGTTAGCTAGAGATCCGGGCAGCTGATGGACAGTGTTGCGGTGAGTCTGGGCACTGGGGCGGTTAGCTTAGCGAGACAGCAAAGGACAGCACGGATGTCGTGGCAGGCTAGTGTGTCCCTCCGGGACTCTGGTTGGTAGTCATTACAGATACTAAAAACAGGGCTCGAGTGGGTCTGAGAGCAGGGGAGATCTTTAGATTCACATCTGGCCTCCAATCTCATCCAGTCTTTGGCCTTGCTTGATAAATGCGTTTGTATGAGCAGGCTGGGGTCTCTTTTGCTTCATCGATTTAACGTTACGTCTACCATAAGTTATCCTGCATTTTTAAACAACATTCCCCCAAATCCATCCTGTTCCTCTTTCGACGCGGTTGCAAAGGGAAGCGGGTCGTAGAAGTGTGTCAGATCAGGGTTGGGATCTCCAAACGCTGTGGTGATGACTCTGGAGTCCATGATGGCCTGTTGCATGAGTGAAGAGGCGAAGGAGTCCAAAAGAATCAACGCCGAGATCGACAAACAGCTCCGGAGAGACAAACGAGATGCGAGACGAGAGCTCAAACTCCTCTTACTGGGTAAGTGCATCGTTGACAGCTGCTGTGACCGTCAATTATGGCCAGAAGATGCATGATGTTTGACATAAACGCATATTGCTTTGTGGATCTAATGCATAATGATGCTGACATGCTGTTGAAGTCGATATCGAAGCGTTGCTTTCACTACTTGTGTCATTCGTGTGCATGATTTCACTTTATGTAATGCATGCACGTGTTGATCTGCATTGTGTTTTTAAGATTGTTGGATATTCCATAACATGTCAAAAATCCTAAAAAGAATGCTGATGGGATATGTAGACTTAATGTAGACCCAGTTCTAGTGGTATCCTGCGTTCCCACGGTCGTGGAAATATAAGGGCATTTCATGATATATCACATAGTGAATGAATCTATTCTTTAAATATTTAAATATATTATATATTTAATTATATAATGAATGTGTGTTTGCTTGGTTATAAGAGAAGAAATGTTATTTTAAATGTAAAATAAATGGTAAATTATTTAGTGTTTTTTTTTTTTCTTGGTTACATTATTTATATATATA